TACCAGCTTCACCAGTGTCTGTCACGCAACTTTGTTCCCCTTTCGGGTTCTGTCTTTATATTTATTTTGAAAGATGAAGCTCGTGATTATGGTAAGGGGCGTTACATTTCCGACGAGTGCTTGCGGTGTTCGGCCAATCACAATGCACTGGGTCAGCTGGCCAATCAGAGCAGACTGTGCTTGTCGGAAGGAGGGACTTTGTAGAAAACGAAGCGTTCGAGAAAGGCGGGGCATAGAGGACCTACAATAATGTACAGTATTTGAAAAATAATGTGTTTTTTGAACATTAAAGCATGTCAACATATTCTGTTACACCAAATACACAAAATAATGATCTTTAAAAAAGCATCATATGACCCCTTTAAAATAATTTGCTCACACCCCAAAAATCCCAACTTTTTTGTTTAAAAAAAGTAAATAAAAAATAATGCGTAGTTCGCTCTATTATGTTCCTATCACAAACCCACACATTCTTCTCTTTGTATACATTCCAGTTTGATGAAAAGCGGGCAGACAAGCCACTCACCGAGGACAGCGAGCTAGACAAAGGAGAGATGATTTCATTCATCCATGCCAACAGCATGAAACTTGTCATTCCATTTAATGAAGAGGTAACACTTCAAAATTCACTTCACTGACCAATGTTAAAAAGTCTTAAAAATACAATTTTAAATAATACAATTTAAAATAAAATAAAATGTATGCTAATGAAATTAATCACGATATTGGTGATTAACATCTTTCTAATTTCATATATTTTTTTATTTATATTATATTTCTGCAGAATGCTGAGCAAATATTTAAGTCTAAGGTCCGTAATCACATGATTCTATTCATTAACACAACTGTGGAATCCCAAAATGCATTGCTAGAAGATTTCAGAGATGTTGCCAGTGAGTTTAAGGAAAAAGTAAGCGTTTTAACTTAATAGCTAAATTATAATTAAATAAGTTTAAATCAACTCATATTGGGATAGAGAGCTGTTTCCAATCTTGCCATGCTCACAGTCTGTGTGTATGTGCACAGGTGCTTTTCATCACATTAGATGTCACGTCTGACAAATCGGATCATGTGCTGAAGTATTTCAGCATCTCTGCAAATGATGCTCCTATTATTCGCCTGATCAACATTGACAAAGTGGTGACATATGCAATGGAAGGATCAACCATCAACAAAGAAACACTGAGAACATTTAGCCAGGGTGTTCTGGATGGTACCATGAAGGTGTGTTTCTGTAACCAATCATCTTCATTTGCAGCATATGTGCAGCTGTAAATGTTTTTACAAATTAAATAAATTAAATTAAGTATCGCACTGCAATCTAGCCCTTTTTGAAGACTCAAAAAATTCCAGAGGATTGGGAGAAGAATCCAGTTAAAGTCCTCGTAGGGAAGAACTTCAACGAAGTGGCTTTTAATGAGACTAAGAACGTCTTTGTGGAGTTTTGTAAGTTAGCACTTTATATTTTCAAGTGCAAATAAAAGTATTTAATAGTGGCTTTAACATTTTTGTCCTTCCTTACAGATGCTCCATGGTGTGGTCACTGTCAACAACTGGATCCTATATGGGATGAGTTGGGTGAGAAATACAAAGACCATGAGAATATAATCATTGCGAAAATGGACGCTACAGAAAATGATGTGGAAGATGTCACTATACAGGGATTTCCCACCATTAAATACTTTCCAGCTGGGGCTGAAAAGAAGGTTCGCAACAACATACACTCTTAAATACTCTTATATTGTAAAAGGATATTAAATAGTATGTTGTTGTTGTTTTTCTTTGGTTATTCAAAATTATTTTCAAAGTTGCTGTTACTAAAATAAATAGCAAATCTTTTCTTTTATTACTTCACAAAATATAATAGCTCTTTATAAAAAGTTTGATATTTAGGAATGTCCAATTTGGAATGTAAACTTGCATAGGGCGATATATACTATATATAGCATATCTCAACTGCTTGAATGTTTGTATTGTTGCAAAATCTAATCACCAATACAAATACATTTGAGCATGTACATACTGACAAATGCTTTTAAAATACTTTGTGCGAACAGATTGTTGATTATAATGGAAACAGAGATTTGGAGACCTTCTCAAAGTTTCTGGATAATGGAGGAGTGATACCAGAAGAAGAGAGTAAAGATGATGACGAGGACAAAGATGATGAAGATGATGAAGACGAGGTCAGTAAAAAGCCAACAGATGGCTTGATTATTTAGCCTGTTATAAGAGGCAAAAAACTGAACGTTTTAATTTGAATAATATAGTTGGTGAGTTTCTTTTTGCTTTTCAGGTGTCAGATGAACCAACAGAAGAGTCACCAAAATCTACCAATAAAACTAGCAAGGATGAGCTTTAAAAACAAGGCATAAATAAACTAATTTGTACTGAATAAGATCAGTGTGAGACTTACTGTATGCCAATGAGCCAAACTGTGTTTTGTCATGTTAATGCCTTTTTTTGTTGTTGCACTGGACCATTTCAACAAACTACATACCTGACTAAATTTAATAAAAACAACTTAACACATTAAGGTTTTTATTCATGGTCCTGGTCTTTAATTTATATCTGTGGTGTGAGATAATTTTGACACTATCAGTATCAGTATTTGCCTTCAAAAGAGTAGGCCATATGGATGAATCTCAGAAAACTGTCAAGAGCATGGCTAACATGAAGAATATTTTTTATGATCATTACGTTTTTAATCACATTTTTGTCCATATTTTCATTAGGGTTATGCCAAAAAAAATAAAAATAAAAATAAGGTATGTCTACATCATGATAGTGTTTTACTGCATTTACAGCATACGCAATATAACTGTATTACAGTGTATATTTATTTCGGTTTTACTGTAGTATAATAAAAAACTGTCAAAGTTGCTGTCAAAGAATCTAATAAGAACCACTATCGCTACTGCATTACATTTCTTCTCTATCCTTTGATTTTGGAGTAAAATGTAACATGGACATTTTAGCAAGTTTTACCCTTATGATTCTTTTAGTGCATTTGTTGATGCCATGGCCTTTATTTACAAAGTAAACAAATGATGATGAATTCATTCATTGATGTCCTTTGGCCACATTTATGATACAACATCCATGTTTGTACTCTAAATATTTCGTTAATCACATTTTTGTCCATATTTTCATTAGGGTTATGCCAAAAAAATAAAAAATAAAAATAAGGTATGTCTACATCACGATAGTGTTTTACTGCATTTACAGCATACGCAATATAACTGTATTACAGTGTATATTTATTTCGGGTTTTACTGTAGTATAACTTTTTTGACAGTTTCAACGACAGTTTCTTAGATTATTCTTGGTGAATCGCTACTGCATTACATTTCTTCTCTATCCTTTGATTTTGGAGTAAAATGTAACATGGACATTTTAGCAAGTTTTACCCTTATGATTCTTTTAGTGCATTTGTTGATGCCATGGCCTTTATTTACAAAGTAAACAAATGATGATGAATTCATTCATTGATGTCCTTTGGCCACATTTATGATACAACATCCATGTTTGTACTCTAAATATTTCATAAGCAACAAAGCTACAGCAAGATATATTCTTCTCATGCCACGATACAGTAGTTTAAGGAAAGGAGTACTAATGTTAATCACAACTGGATCAAATCATTCAACCAAATCACAATAGAATACGTTTAACATGTCTGTGTGAAGCATTATTTTTACTCACCCTAAGGCACGTTCACTATGTAGCTGCACATTCCTCTTCATTGCAGTGGAATGCACAGATAGTAAAGATAAACAGGTAAACAAGTAGAGTGAGTCAGGCAGTGATGATGACATAAGAAAACATTTCTGTGAAGTATCAACACGCAGGTAAGAATAATTCAGCTATATACGCCTGTTTAAATTTCAGCTTTAATATTTACATTATGACAAAAAAGCATTTTGAAGTAAGGTGAAACACAAAGTATGGCATGCGGTGACCTGTGTTATTTCAACTTGTATTTGTTTAAACGTATACTGTATGTATGATGGAACGGACATGATTTGGCAAAGTTAACTATACATGATAAAATGCATCGATGTTTAGTAGAAAAACATGCTTCAATACCTACATGGGAAGTAAGGTCTGTATGTCACGCCACATGCGACTACTTTGTTTGTTTGTTTTTTTCAGCCAAGTTCACATCTGAGATTGCAATATCAGGCATAGAATCAAATAATATACAGCATGTGGAGTGATATATCATATAGATGAATAAAAAACACATTTTGGATTTGTAAAAGAAGAATTAGGTTAATGTAAGGACATTCCACCTTGTGCTCTTTTCATTCCTAACATTGTTCAGGATCTCGGCTGGTAACACAAACCTTTTAGGTTTGATCCAGAATGAAAAAGCTGAAAGACTGAAATGAGGCTACAATTGGTCATGTAGCCATAAACACAAGTATAAAGCACTTTTTGGAAATCAATATGGAAGTTTTATAATGTGGAATGAATTATTTTATTTAGTGTCTTTCTTACATAATGGGTCCTGGGTCTGAATTAGATCTATAGGCCTATGATCAGGTTAAATTACTCATATATATACAGTATATATATATATTTTTTTTTTTTTCAAATACATTTTATTATACATTTTTTTAACAATGCTCTTAAATATATATTCTCTAATTATACTTTTTTTTCTTTGCTGATTCAAAACAACTCACATGGTTTAGTAATAGGCCTACTACCGACTCTCATCATGACTTTGTTTAACCTCTGAACGCTTCAGTGTGGCATCTTATATAACTAGGGTCCCACTTTCCTCTCATATGACGCTTTAAATCACTGCTGGTTAGAAAGAAAGTATGTTTTATTTTCCTACTTTAATTAGATTTAGTCAGACTGTTTTTGCAATGACTGAATCAGCACCTAATTGACTAGTATTAGTATTTCTATCAGAAGGTAATGTACACAGATTTAGCACGTCGTATTTTCATGTATTTAGTATACTAACTCATTATATCCAGTAATAGATGGATATCCCCGCATGTACTTCAGCAACAGCAGGCTCCACATCCCCACCGCCCGCTTACGAAGACTTTAATAAGTTTCCCCTTTATGAGGAAATAATTCCAGCTTCACCACCACCTGATTATAATGTCGCCATAGCGCCACCTGCTGACAGGGAGAGAGGTAAGAGCTGCAGCTGCTGAGGGCAGCATATAAATTGCATATATATATATATATAAGAATGAAAAGTATAAATTAATAGATTTTTTTTGTTTACAGTCAATCTTCAAGAGAGTCCTCAAAATCCTAATAGGAGGGCAAACCCATACCCTGTCCTCAATGTGCCTCGAGTCGAAATAGTCGAACACAGAGAACAAAGTAAGTGCTATTTAAGGAATAGTTCATCCCCCCAAAAAATGTTTTCCCCTGAAATGTACTTACTCTCAGCCAATCTGAGATAAGATGAGTTTGTTTCTTTATCAGAACAGATTTAGCATTAAATCACTTTCTCAACAATGGATCCTCTGCAGTGAATGGGTGCCATCAGAATGAGAGTCCAAACAGCTGATAAAAACCTCACAATAATCCACATGACTTGAAAGGTTAATGTAAACAAATTAAGGCATTTTTAACTTCAGACTGTTGCTTCTGGCTAAAATACTAGTCCATAATATTGCTTTCTCTAGTGAAAAAGTCATCTTGTCTAAATCAAAAGAGAAATATGCACAGATCAAGCACTGTTTACAAGCGAAAATAAGTTCTAAACAAATATGTCGGTGGATTTTGATGTGAGAGGACAAAAGGGGATGAATTTGTTTCTTACAAACAAACTATCACTTCATGGTGTTAATTAATGGGCTGGAGTTGTGTGGATTACTTGTGGATTATTGTGATGCTTTAATCAGCTGTTTGAACTCTCATTCTGACGGCACCCATTCAAAGCAGAGAATCCATTGGTGAACAAGTGATGTAATGCTAAAATTTCTCCAAATCTGTTCCAATGAAGAAACAAATTCATCTGCATGTGGATGGCCTGGCCATAACCACTTTTTCACTGTTTAAGGATTCATGCAGCAGATAGTGCAGCCTGTAGCTCCTCAGGTGGTCGTGGTGCAGCCACAGCAGATGCTTGTTCTTTTGGATGACACACCGACAGCGACTGTGTGCAAGTACTGCAATAAGAGCATCATCACTAATGTGAAATATAAATCTGGTTCTGCTGCATGGGGCATGTGCTGTTTATTAACTGTACTTGGGTAAGAACTATTGACAAACTTGTATATTGTAACTGTGGGTGATACATCTAAATATGCCAGTTATTTCTCATTGTCTGTTTGTTTTACAGGCTCATTTGTGGATTTTGCCTCATCCCATTCTGTGTCAGGGGTTTTAAAGATGCCCATCACTCCTGTCCTTACTGCCATAAGCACTTAGGAATATACACCCGCAAATGACTTTATTTCCAAACTCTCACACACATTCAACATTATGATCTATACTTACTTCTAAAAGTCTATAAACTGCCATAATGTATTAAAATAATTGTTAGGATGGTTTCCCTACGGTGGTTCAGTCTGTAGGATTGCCGAATGACTAAAGAAACGTTATCAGCACGATGGTATAAAACTGTAAATTTCTAGTCTATTACCACCCACTGCCACTTATACCAACGACGGAAATAAGCGCAGTTAGAATAGCTAAATATGTGGGAGAGCGTTGCTATTGAGTGACTATTGTATTGCAATAGGTAGCACTTTAATATTAACCTTGAATCAAGACTGAAAACTGAGGTTTTAATTTTCACCTTCTGTTTTATTTTTTTGCTTCTGTAGATCTTCTCAAGATTTTCTTGAACTTGTGGACATGCTTTATCCACTTTGGTCATGATTATGACTTGAGGAATGCCTGTGATATCATACACAATAAATACATAGTCTACAATACAAAACAATAACTGATTTTCCTGTAATAACTGAGCTTCCTTGATGATAACTGACAGATTGTATGTTATGTGATAGTGTTTGGAGGATACAAATATTATATTCGTGAATAAAGGTAGATGTATTCTATATGGCTTACCCAAGTCTCGTGCTTTCTCTAAAACGTCTCTCATTAGATTAAATATTTTATTATTCATCATAGACACTGAGTCGGCAGGAAGAACAGCCACCAGACAGTGAATCCTTCGAATCTCCGTCACTCGATTTGCCACAAAGGGCTTCCATTTCTGCGCCAAACTATGGATCCAGTTCAAGACTTGAGTCTGTCCACATATGGAGATGGTTTTCCCTGATCTTTAGAGCCTTTAACAGATTATGGGCTATCCTGGCTCCTATCAAGGCTCCCATTAGCTCCAGTCGAGGAAGCGTAATTTTCTTTAGTGGCGCAACTCTGGACTTTGAGGCTACCAGAGTTTAAATCATTTCTGCAGTCTCACTCTTGCCTTGCAGATATTTAACTGCACAGTAAGCTCTTTCACTCGCATCGCAAAAGACATGGAGTCTGACTGTCTCAACTTGCTGATTTGTCAAGATGTGATACCATCTAGGTATAGCCACGAGGTGTAGCTGTGGCAACTCATCACACCACTGCTTCCATTTATAGGCTAAATCTGGGGGTAGTTCTTCATCCCACTTGAGTCCTCGCTCCCACATTCCCTGGAACAGACATTTTACACGGCTAGTATAGGGCGTTAGGAAACCTATTGGATCAAAATTGCATGATGAAATTTGAAGAACACTCCTCTTAGTACTCTCTTTCGTTTCATCGTTCAACATCCAGCACTTGCCGCAAGTCAAACACAAAGTCATCATGGTCATGCCTCCATATCAATCCCAACACTTTCAATGCAGTGTTGTGTGTCCCTGAATCTGCTTGGCTTTCAATCTGGTCTTTTATCCATCTTGTTCTTAGGTCAGAGGAGTTGGTCATCCATTTCCATAGATCCATTCCTGCAGCAGAAAATATGGCCTTTGCTTTCGCTGAGATAAAACAAGCTTCATCCACATCAGGCAAGCTCACAATGAGATCATCAACATACAGTGATTCACGGAGTAGTGCAACAGTTTTTGGCTGTTCAGACTCATACTGTTTGAGATGAGTTCTAATTGTCGCTGCCAACAGAAAGGGGCTGGATGCAACTCCAAACACAACTCAAGGCTCCCTTTTAGAGTTCTGTGATGAGGGATCATAGGTCAATAAGTACCTCAAAATGTCTCTATCCCTTTTTTTCAGTCCTATTTGCAGAAAAGCCTTTGCAATATCAGCTGTAAAGGCGACCTTGTGAAGGTGGAATTTAATAAGCACATGAAGTAAGTCTGGGTTTAAGTTGGGCCCGATAAGTAAACAGTCATTGAGGGAGGGTGACCCCCCTTCGTGTGAAGACGCATCAAACACAATTCTCAGTTTGGTTGTTTCCGTATCGTCTCGGATTACTGTATGGTGTGGCATGTAATACTTCACTGTGCTAGCCTGCTCTATAGGTGATGTGTCCTTTACCTCTTCACATATCTCTTGTGCAGATATTCTTTAATCACATCATTGTATCTCTCATAGAGCGCATTGTCAGTTCTAAATCTTTTCTTGAGAGCTTCAAACCTTTTTCTTGCAACGTTACAGTTGTCTTTAAGTTCCGATGTGTCTCTGTCATATTTTATGGATTAATAAAGAACCCCTTTCAATAGTTGGGTATCTCTCCTTTTTTAAGTAAATAGGTTAAAAATCAGTTAAAGTCTAAGTTGGACTAATGTCCCCTGTTGTGGGGTCAGTTGCAACATTTGGCATTGTCTATTCATATAGCCTATAAATTGTACATATATTGTCATAAGTACACATTTCAGAAGTGTGGGTGAGTAGCTGACAGATGTGGCTTCAGGGTCAGCCCAAGGCATAAGTGAACTAAGCGGCTAAATTTAACACATTAAGTATGCCACTGTACTGTAAGACTTTGAATGCAAATTAACATCTGACCACTCTTGTGGGTTTGCTACTGTTATAATTAAAAATCGTAGAAGGGTAAAAATATTGGTATGATGTAAACAACACAGCTATATAACAAATAAAATTGATAATGGGTGAGTTAGATTCAGTGTGCAAATGATCAAGCATTGACAATAATCAGTCGTATTGGCGGCATCGCGGGGCCCCTAAATAAAATTCTGTTTAGGGCTCCATAAAGGCTTAGGCCAGCCCTGTGTGGCTTTATTGTATTAGAATTTTGGCTTTCCAATACAAACGGTCTCTGAAAAGCTGAAGGAAATGCAAAAAGTGTTGCAACCATCCCCACTCTCCCAGTAGTGTAATACTGCAAAGTTCCGAAAGTGACAAACACTGCGAAATGCTTAGCGATTCACAGTGATAACCACAGCGTTATGGTTTTGTATCTTGTGCTTGTTTGATTTTCCATCATTTTCAATCAAAGTAGCGACTAAAGAAAGGTTCTGTAACGGGGCGAACGAGACGCGAGACGTGCGGATCCATATGCAAGGCTTTATTTCCAAGACGTGGTCCTATAACAGGCATGGGTCAAACAATGGCAAACAGGTACAACACAAGCAAGACAAAGAGTAATCCTAGGACAAGCGTGGGTCTTCGATAGGCGAAATGAATCCAGAGGGCTTGACGAAAGGTGTAATCCGTAATACACAGGCAAAGATCTTCACACAGGAAAACAGGCAAGGCAAGACTAGACTAGACTAGACTAGACTAGACTAGACCGGGAACTGGCACCGTAAAGTAGCTACCGCTAGAAGTGTGATAAATGCTAAACAACACTCGGCGTTGAATAGTGGTGTGAGACTGATTTATATAGTGTGTTATTAGTAGCTTTCAGGTGAGCGTGTGATTGGTTACAGCTGTGTGCAATCAGTTGCAATGGATGATGGGAAATGTAGTCCAGGGTATAGTCACCTTGTCCAAATACCCACACTTTCGGTGTTTGCACTTGACCACTTGACTACTTATATGACGTATGTCCTGCATTTGGCCCAAGTGTTCAATCGAGGATGAAGACCACAAGTGTGTGTAGAACTTTTCATTACCGTATGGGACACACTTATAATGTTGTAAAAATGCAAGTGTTTGCATAGCTTTATTTAAATTTGCATTTTAAAATCAACTTCTAAATATCTGTTCAGTAGTGCCTATAACAGATGACAGTTTAAGTTGCAGCTGCTTCTAATTAAGTGATGAAAAGCAGTTGCAAATGTTGTAAATAATAAATAATAAATATCACCACTACGCATCTTTGCACAAGTAAAACGTGCAACACTGTTTTTCTACCAAATTATATGTAATAACAGCCTAATTATTATATTAATATTTAACTTACATGGGAAAAGTTTCCGTAACCTCTCGCGAGATCTCTGCAAATCTTAGATTTATTCCAAAACATGATGCATGATGGGATACACTAAGCCTCGAATAGTGCTCCGGAGCGTATTCAAGATAGTGTGGATTTAGTGTGCGTTAAGGGCACTGCACTTTGGCATTTTGAAGACCTGGGACAGTCTTGCGCACTTACTTCCTGTCGCGCGCACGTGCTCTCAAGTGGCCAAGACTACAAGTGTGAGTATTTGGACAAGGCAAGTGTACTGCTGCGTTCAAGTCCTCCTGGGACTTTCGTACCTACTTACGAGTTGACAATTCGTAATTACGACGTCAGGTGCGTTCAAGTCAGTTTAGTTGGCACAAGATGGCGGTGTACCTTCTTTTAATAAATTACAAGAAAATACAACAGGGTCTGTTAACTCTGCTTATAGAAAATGAAGACCAAAGAATTCGCATCAGGTGTGTTTTGCGTTTTTTAATATTCATAAAACATGCAACATGGCAAATCAAAAGATTTTTCACCTATAGGTGCAAAAATGATAGCATTTTTTTACTTGGATTTCATTAACTAGCTGCGTAACAAGAACATGACCAATTTAAGTTTATAGGACAACTGAAATATCAATTTAAACAAAAATTTACTGTCAACTACAGACGTTGCATCCATCGATTCCGCCATGTTTCTCATTGACACGCCCCCAACTCTGAAACTCGGGGCTTAAAGAAAATTTTGAGTTTCCCCACTCGTAATAACGACTTTATGGTGGCGTTCATGTGCGTTCAACTCGTAAATACGATCTATCCGACATGACTTGAACGCACCATAACAGTCTGCGTAGTGTGAGAGTCCATGTAATGAGTGGGTGATCTCTGTGAGTAGGGATGGGCGGATCGATCCTAAAGGATCGATATTTTTGATTGTATCAAAAGGATCGATTCTCAAATAGATTCAGTTACAACAGCCCTCCTACTTGGGAAGAGTGACCAGTGCTTTACAAATGAAGAGCGGTCTGTTATCCACCTGACCATTGAGGCCTTGAGACCTTTTGAGGAGGCAACACGTGAGGTATCTGCAGAAAAACACATTTCTATCTCAAAGGTCATTCCGCTAGTATCACTGCTTCTTAGAGCAACTGCTGCCAGTGAGCGTCAAGGTTGCTCTTTTGCCGCAGAACTGGCACAGCAATGTCAGCGCAGATTCAGTGGGGTTGAAACCATACACAGCCTCGCTGTCAGCGCCTTTCTTGCATTTCGTGACAAAGATCATGTAGAAGCAGTGAAAAAGCGACTCCTATCTGAAATGCAGGATGTCCACTTGGCCACATCGGAGTTAGCTGCTGCACCACTAGAAGCTACCTCAACATCTGTCCTAAGGTCTGTGTCAGTACCTACAGCAAGCTGTGCCTCGTCAGTGACTCCTCCAGTGGCCCCACGAACTGCATCAGCTACATCTAAAGGAGGCATATGGGAGGATTTTGACTTCCAGGTTCAGCACAACAACAACAATCAAGAAGCAGTGATTCTATCATTGAAATGTGTCGCTATGCTGAGGAGAAAGTAGTTCCCCGAAACCAAGGGCCATTAGTTTGGTGGAGAAATCATGAGCAAACCTTCCCAGCTCTCAGCAAACTAGCAAAAAAAAATTCTTGGGATCACTGCATCATCTGTTCCTTCTGAGGGAATTTCATGTCTATTGCAGTTTATTTAATATTAATAATGATGGCTATCAAAAAAACAATATAAAATCACTCATAAAAGTATTTCATTGGAGTATCGGTATCGGTATTGATATCGACGATACTTGTCTTGAAAATACTTGGTATCGGATCGGAAAGAAAATAATTGGTATCGCCCACCCCAGTGGTGAGTGAACGGAAGTTCATAGACCGGATTCGTGACAGGTACATTATATCCGGCAAGTTGCATAAACCGCCATTGATAGTGTCGTTGAATTCAGTTTGCTCTATTGTGTATGGCCATTTCTGCTTGTTTTAAATGTAACCTATTTGGACTTGCTTTTTTCAAACAGTCGTTTAAAAATGTCCCCCCCCCCCCTCTCTATGTTATTTCTGGAGTACATTCCCGTATTTGGATTTATTTAGCTTATATTGGCGAGGCATTAATGTGGCTTTGTTTCATCAGACTCTGTTGTTTTTGAGGTCTGGCAACACCCTCTTAACCCGTAATAAACGAAACTTTGCAAACATGTTTCAAGCTCACATAAAGTCCCCGGTGTGTCTTGTAAAGATAATGGCAAAAATGCAAAATCATCATGACATTTTAAGTTTAACTGTTGCAAATTTTGTAATATGTCCTCCTTTTCTTACAGCTTCTGTACTATAAATGTACTCAATTAATGTATAGCTACTTTTTCAATAATTCGTCCATTTAACTTACCCTTAACTTATAACTTACTTAATTATATAAAAAAGAGATATAATTTTCATATCTTTACTGCTGGAGAATGTGGAGAAATTTAGTTCTAACACACTAAATTTCTTCAGTCACTCTGAACTCTGAGAGTGATGAGACTTACTCCTCCTATGCAAAAATGTAAAAGCTATTATATTTCTACTGTTATCTAAAAGTTTAATGCCTTTGAATTCAAATTAATATCCATGTTTTCTGGGCTGTTTTGGTTACTACCATACAAAACATTATTATGGCTGTGAGATCCTGAGCCAACTGTAACACTCATTATTAATATGAACATTTGAATCTTTAAAATGCACAATATTATTAAAAACATGTAAAGGTTTCAAACCTTGCACATTTTATTACACATTTATATTTATGGCTTCCATATTTGACAGTTCATTTCCTGAATAACGTAACTGAATTTCCACAGATGAGCAACTCTGGAATGATGCACACTGCGATACTTTTCTCAGTTTCATCTGTTCCAGAACGGCTAGAATTGATTTCTGATCCTAATTTTGATTGCTAAAATAATATCTCATGTCTGTCCATCACAGAATTCTAAAGTCTCCAAATTTCTGACTATAGCAGACATGCTTTGATTTTGAATTTTAATGTCAATCTTTGCAAAAAATAAATAAAATGAAATAGACTTTAAACTGCAAATGTACATCTGTTTTATTTGTTGAGTCACTCTCTTTTTTGAGTTTTAAAGAAATCCTGTGGTGAAAATCATGTTTTTAATCCTGCTGGGGAAAACAAATCTAAAACCAACCTAAGATGGTTGGCTGGTCTTAGTTGGTTCCAACGTGAAGTATGGGAGTGTTGTTTTTTTTTTTTGCTGTCCAGCTAAAGAAGTGGTCAAAATCCCACTAAAACCAGCCTGCAAACACCAGCTAAAACCAGTCAGCCAGTTTTTTTTTCTCAGCAGTGACATGTGTATCTGGTGTTTTTCATATGCTTTGTAGAGTTATATTTAAGCGAGCAATAATTGACACTGTTAATTGTAAAAAAAAAAAACTATTAAAGGTGCAGTAGGAGATTTTGGAAAATGCTAACTTTAGCCTGATAGCATTGAAAGCGATCGTCCCACCCTCCCTGCAACCCGCCATCTAAAGCCACGCCCCCTGAACGCATATATGCTCACAGACCAGAATACCAGAGACAACATTATTACAATAGGTTACATCAGCCTTTCTCAATTCCAGCCCATGTTCAGAAGTGAAGTAAACTTCAACAGATTTCCCCGGCTCAGGGAGTAGGGAGCAATGAACACTGTTCAGGGATCATATCGATCGGATAGGAGGGAGGGAAGGAAGAAAGGAAGGAAGATCGGGTTGTTGACGTTTGTCTGCCATTCTCACTCTGTCTGCACAGCGTGCGTGAACGCGCTGATGACATATCCTGTCTGTGCGAACTGGGTGCCCAGAGGTATGCTAATACATAAGTTGACAGGCAGGTAGGAAAGCCATTTAAAACGCTCGAACAGAGCGTTTTGATTGGACGAACATTTCTTGGTCCTACGCCTTCCACAGAATATATAAATACAGATAAATACATTTAGACCACTTAACTTAATGATTGCTATCAGGATGTGAAGAGACTTTCAACCAAAACCTTTTCTGAAGACAATTACCTATTGCACCTATTGTATGTAATTTTGATTATATGTGTTTTAAGGGATAAAGTGACAGCAGGGGGACTTTAATGAACAACACAAACCTTGATGGTGTAGTTACGGCATCTACCAGGAGAGGGTACTGCTTTAAAACCTGCCATTTCCTGTCTAAATTAACCAGCCGAACCTTGAATGACTCCTTGATATTGACTTTAATATCTTATCTCAGGGTTCTCAGAGCTACTTTTTAAAAATTAATGTGGCTGAGAGCTACTCATGGTATACAATACATATATTTCTTAAATAACATATCGATCCAAACTGTTATAGCCTACACGGTAGTCTTAAAATGTGCTGGAAATGTAAAAAAAATTATACACACTGAAATCATTTTACCAAGTTTTATGCCGA